CATAATGGGAAAGAATATGGAAAAATGGAAAATGATAATGACAAAGAATACATAGACACATATATAAAACTGAATCACTTTGCTATACACCAGAAACTCACACAACATTGTAAACCAACTATACCTCAATAAACAATTAAATAAAATACAGTTGGCTTCACATACTATGAAAATGGATGGTAAAATTCATTCTAATAATTTAAAAGTTTACTTTTTCTTTACTTAGAATTTTAAATAGCTGGTTTTAAAATGCTCTGAAAATTTAAGACATGGTGGATAAAGTGAAAAGTTTTATAAAGATTCTATTGGTTTTAATGGTACTTTCCCCTGTTTCTTTAACAAGGGACCAGTGTTATCAATTTGCTCTGGGACCACAAATAGTGTCACCAAAGCTGCAGCACAGGACAAATAGAAGCCACTTCCCTGGTGGTTCAGCCCAGGGCAGCTAAGCAAAGATGCAACTGAATAGGCACAATGTAACATTACTAGCAACACCTAGGGCTTCCCAGGTGCCTCAGCCTGAAAGAATCTGCCTGCCAATGCAGGCGTTGCAAGAGACGTGGGTTTACTCCCTGGTCCAGGAAGATCCCCTGGAGGAGGAAATGGCAACTCCCTCCAGTATTCATGCCTGGAGAATCCCCTGGATGGTGGAGCCTGGCCGGCTGCAGTCCATGGGGTCGCACAGTCACACAGGCCAGAGCAGGCACAGTGATAAGTACTGAGCCGAAAGCTGAGGAGGACAAGGTTGGCCAGAGCAGGTCAGAAGCCATCCGGGGATTAGACTTTGAAGCCCTGCCAGGTGAGAAATGGAGTATCTCCTGCCACATAGTCAACAAGGATGTCGCAGTCTTCAGGGATTCCAGCCCTCCAAAAGTGAATTTCTGAGCCCTGAGGGCACCCAGGAAGGAGAACAATACCTGCCCATCTGGCAGCCATCAGATTGCAGCCACTCCCTACAGTGAGCACTGAGGAACTCAGAATGTGAAACACATAGGAATATGGGCCCAGAGAGCTGAGAGGCACATGAAGGAAAGATTTCAGTGAGCCCAGACTCTTGCATCTTCCTGTACGTAGAACAGTGCTAAGTTCCTTGACTTGAGATATCTGGTTTTCTTTAAACAATGATAAGAAAGCCTTCCCTAGTGATCAGTGCAAAGAAATAGAGGAAAACAATAGAGTGGAAAAGTCTAGAGATCTCATCAAGAAAATTAGAGATACCAAGGGAACATTTCATGCAAAAGTGGGCACAATAAAGGACAGAAATGGTATGGACCTAACAGAAGCAGAAGATATTAAGAGGTGGCAAGAATACAGAGAAGACCTATACACAAATGATCTTCATAGCCCAGTTAACCACAACGGTGTGATCACTCACCTAGAGCCAGACATCCTGAAATGTCAAGTCAAGTGGGCCTTAGGAAGCATCACTACAAACAAAGCTAGTGGAGATGATGGAACTCTAGTTGAGCTATTTCAAATCCTAAAAGATGATGCTGTGAAAGTGCTGCACTCAATATGCCAGCAGATTTGGAAAATTCACCAGTGGCCACAGGACTGGGAAAGGTCAGTTTTAATTCCAATCCCAAAGAAGGGCAATGCCAAAGAATGCTCAAACTACTGCACAATTGCACTTATCTCACACACTAGGAGAAGACAATGGTACCCCACTCCAGTATTCTTGCCTGGAAAATCCCATGGACGGAGGAGCCTGGTAGGCTGCAGTCCATGGGTCACAAAGCGTCGGACATGACTGAGCGACTTCACTTTCACTTTTCACTTTCATGCATTGGAGAAGGAAATGGCAACCCACTCCAGTGTTCTTGCCTGGAGAATCCCAGGGATGGTGGAGCCTGGTGGGCTGCCATCTATGGGGTCACACAGAGTCAGACATGACTGAAGCGACTTAACAGCAGCACACACCAGCAAATTAATGCTCAAAATTCTCCTAGTGAGGTTTAAACAGTACATGAACTGCGAACTTCCAGATGTTCAAGCTGGATTTAGAAAAGACAGAGGAACCAGAGATCAAATTGCCAATATCTGTTGGATCATAGAAAAATCAAGAGAATTCCAGAAAAACATCTACTTCTGCTTTATTGACTACATCAAAGCTTTTGACTGTGTGGATCGCAACAAACTGTGGAAAATTCTTCAAGAGATGGGAATATCACACCACCTTACCTGCCTCCAGGGAAACATTTAAGAAGCAACAGTTAGAACCGAACATGGAACAATGGATTACTTCCAAATTGGGAAAGGCGTATGTCAAGACTATATTGTTACCTTGCTTATTTAACTTATTTTCAGAGTACATCACGCAAAATGCCAGGCTGGATGAAGCACAAGCTGGACTCATGTTTGCTGGGAGAAACAGCAATAACCTCAGATACACAGATGATACCACCCTTATGGCAGAAAGCAAAGAGGAACTGAAGAGCTTCTTGATGAAAGTGAAAGAGGAGAGTGAAAAATTTGGCTTGAAACCCACCACTCAAAAAACTAAGATCATAGCATGCAGCCTCATCACTTCATGGAAATAGATAGGGAAACAGTGGAAATAGTGAGAGACTTTATTTTCTTGGGCTCCAAAATCACAGCAGATGGCAACTGCAGGCAGGAAATTAAAAGACGCTTGCTCCTTGGAAGAAAAGCTATGACCAACCTAGGCAGCATATTAAACGGCAGAGACATTACTTTACCGACAAATGCCCATCTAGTTAAGCAATGGTTTTTCCAGTAGTTATGTGAGAGTTGGACCATAAAGAAAGCTGAGCGCCAAAGAATTGATGCTTTTGAACTGTGGTGTTGGAGAAGTCTCTTGAGAGTCCCTTGGACTGCAAGGAGTCAAAACCAGTCAATCCTAAAGGTAATTGAAAGGTTGCTGCTGAACCTCGAAAAGACGCCGGGATTCTTGGCCTCTGGAGGAGAAGAATTCAATCCGGGGCCAGAGACAAGGCTTTAACATTCAGAGCTTTTGTGTAATAAAGTTTTATTAAAGTATAAAGGAGATAGAGAAAGCTTCTGACATAGACCTCAGAAGGGGATAGAAAGAGTACTCACTTGCTAGTGTTATCAATGGAGTTATATACCCTCCAATGAATCCGAAGAATGTCTGGAGGTTGTAAAGACCTCACCAGACCTACTCCCATAATATACATTCTAAGATAACAGAATTAGCCAGAATGTTTAATCCAGAGACTGTCCTCAGGCAGGATACATTATTGTTATATAATCCATGTAAAGACCAGATCTACTCCCATAATTTACATTTTAAGATAACAGAATTAGCCAGAAGGTTTAATCCAGAGACTGTCCTCAGGCAGGATACATTATCGTTATATAATCCTACAGAATGTAGAGGAAAAAAAGTTTGTCCTTTCTTCCTCCTTGAGAATTCCAGACCCCTATCTTCTGGGGGACCCCTAGACTTCTTATCAACCTGCCCAGGAAATGACTGTCTCATAATCAACCCTGAATATTCATTGGAATGACTGATACTGAAACTGAAGCTCTAATACTTTGGCCACCTGATGTGAAGAACTGACTCATTTGAAAAGACCCTGATGCTGGGAAAGATCGAAGACAGGAAGAGAAGGGGACGACAGTGGATGAGATGGTTGGATGGCATCACCGACTCAAAGGACATGAGTTTGAGCAAGCTCCGAGAGTTGACGATGGACAGGGAAGCCTGGCGCGCTGCAGTCCATGGGGTCGCAAAGAGTCGAACACAACGCAACTGAATGGAACTGAATTTTTCGGTGTTCAGACGACCTACCCTTTGTTGTGAGACCACTGTATAACCTGACTCCTCCCCGCCCTGCTCCTTAGAGCAGTTCTCTTGGGGCTACTTGAAAACACAACTCTAAACTTTTTAAGTTGCGGCAATTTTTTTAAGTCGGCGGAAGCAACGTCAAACGCTGGAGTTTAGGGATTTGCTGTGATTTTTATCATTTTTCATAAGACTAACAATATCTGAACGTGTTTCTGAAAACCTCATTTCGGTTGCAGTGGCTGTGTGGGGAGGGCAGCACGATTGGAAGTCCGGAGCATACTGCACCTTAGTGTTCGAAGGTCCAAGCCAGAGAAGCATCACCTGGATATAAAAACGTGCGGCCTGCAGGAGTGGAGCCCCGCGGGGAGAATTACAGCGCCTTCACTGCCATGGGAGGGCTGCTGAAGAAGCAGGTGTAGGCGGAACCAAAAGCTAGTTTTAAACCTTTAAATTTGCAAGGTCTCAAAGTAAAGACTTCGAAAAGTCTTCAGTTCAGCTCAGTCGCTCAGTCGTGTCCGACTCTTTGCGACCCCATGGACTGCAGCACGCCAGGCCTCCCTGTCCATCACCAACTCCCGGAGTTTACTCAAACTCACGTCCATTGAGTCGGCGATGCCATCCAACCATTTCATCCTCTGTCATCCCCTTCTCCTCCTGCCTTCAATCTTTTCCAGCATCGGGATCTTTTCCAATGAGTCAGTTCTTTCCATCAGGTGGCCAAAGGATTGGAGTTTCAGCTTCAGCATCAGTCCTTCCAATGAACACCCAGGACTGATCTCCTTTAGGATGGACTGGTTGGATCTCCTTGCAGTCCAAGGGACTCTCAAGCGTCTTCTCCCAACACCACAGCTCAAAAGCATCAGTCCTTCGGCGCTCAGCTTTCTTTACAGTCCAACTCTCACATCCATACATGACTACTGGAAAAACCATAGGAAAAGTCCTCAACTATGCACAGAACTCCTCCCGCCCAGGCTTTGCCTGTGTGCTGGGACAGCAGCTTCCCAGAAGACCGGTCAGTCCTCCAGGGCACAGAGAGCGCTGGCTAGAGCGGCGGCGACCCCGCCCCCGTCGCAGCGACGTCTGATGACGCAGCGGAACCAACGAGGCGCTTGCGCAGGGGCGCTTGGCGGCGCTCTCGGCTTTTACGTCATCGCGGGCGCGACGCCCCGAGGGACAGAGTGGGGCCCGGTTCTGCTGAGGAGGCGCGGCGGCGGGACCGGCCGGGAAAATGCCAGTGGCGGTGATGGCGGAAAGTTCCTTTAGTTTCAAAAAGTTGCTGGATCAGTGCGAAAACCAGGAGCTCGAGGTAGCTGTCCACCTGGCGGGGTCGCGAGGCCTCGGGCGGCCTCGGTCTCCAGGGTAACGGGGCCCGGGAGGGCGAGGGAGCTGACGTGGGGGGCTGGGGTGAGCCTCCGGGCCTGGTCCCCCCAGACTCGCCAGGAGCTTTTCGCTGTGTGTGTTCAGCTAGTGAGCCCGGAACCACTGTGCGTCTTTGCGCCTCACACCCTGCATACGCTTCTGTGCTGTACTAAACGCCCTTCCTCTGCGCTGTGGGGAGAGGTGTGGGTTTATTAAGACAGTCTGTGCCTGCAGGCACAGGCACAGACGGAGGTGTGACCGCTGTAACCTTTGCTTGATTCAGAAAGCCCTTAGTTTCACGTTAGCACGGAAGCTTGCCGTTTGTCGTGTGTGTGTGTGCGTGTGTGTGCGTGTGTGTGCGTGTGTGTGCGTGTGTGTGTGTGTGTGTGTGTCGCTCAGTCGTGTCCGACTCTTTTGCGACCTCAGGAGTCCACAGGCTCCTCTGTCCATGGAATTCTCTGGGGAAGAATACTGGAGTGGGTTGCCATGCCCTTCTCCAGGGGATCTTCCCCACCCAAGGATCCATCCTGGCTCGTTCTCCGGCATTGCAGGCAGATTCTCTACTAGTCTCAGCCACCAGGGAAGCCCCTTGTCTTCCGAAGGACAGGTGAACCTTGTATCATGCAACTGCTAAAGTAATAAGGTTTTTTCCCTAGAAAGGCACTTAACGGCATTTATAACCTTGATAGAAAAAGTTAATTAACCAAAGGAGACAGCTGCCAGAAGCAGCAGCTCTCCAATAGACACTTTATAGATGTCATCTGAATGAACTGAAATTGAGTGAGAAGAATGTTTTTGTAACCCAGCTGTTTTGTAGCTCAGCTGATGTTCTTTTCTTTATTCTGTGTTTACTTAGATATTCAATGTATTTGATATAGTTCAAAGAATTAATCATATTGCTTTAGAAATCTGTCGAAAACACTTCTTGTAATAGTACAACTAAGTAAGAATTTGAGAATTGGGAAAGGGATCACATTTAAATATTCTCGTGTGTATGAATACATAAAGGCCCAGACAGAGAAATCACAGCTGATGACAGACCTAAATTTAATCCTCTGGGTTTTAGTGTATGATTCTTCCCTAAGCTGTTTCTCCATCTGTAATAACAACTACTATAAAATATGCTTCAGTTCAGTCGCTCAGTCGTGTCCAACTCTTTGCGACCTCATGAACCGCAGCACACCAGGCCTCCCTGTCCATCACCAACTCCCAGAGCTTACCCAAACTTATGTCCATTGAGTCGATGATGCCATCCAACCATCTCATCCTCTGTTGTCCCCTTCTCCTCCTGCCTTCAATCTTTCCCAGCATCAAGGTCTTTTCCAGTGAGTCACCTCTTCCCATCAGGTGGCCAGAGTATTGGAGTTTCAGCTTCAACATCAGTCTTTCCAATGAACACCCAGGACTGATCTCCTTCACCACAGTTCAAAAGCATCAATCCTTCGGTGCTCAGCTTTCTTCACAGTCCAGCTCTCACATCCATACATGACTACTGGAAAAACCACAGCCTTGACCAGATGGACCTTTGTTGGCAGTGTCTCTGCTTTTCAGTATGCTGTCTAGGTTGGTCGTAACTTTCCTTCCAAGGAGTAAGCGTCTTTTAATTTCATGGCTGCAGTCACCATCTGCAGTGATTTTGGAGCCCCCCAAAATAAAGTCAGCCACTGTAGCCACTGTTTCCCCATCTATTTGCCATGGAGTGATGGGACCGGATGCCATGATCTTAGTTTTCTGAATGTTGAGCTTTAAGCCAACTTTTTCACTCTCCCCTTTCACTTTCATCAACAGGCTCTTTAGTTCTTCCCTTTCTGCCTCAAGGGTGGTGTCATTTGCATTTCTGAGGTTGTTGATGTTTCTCCCAGCAATCTTGATTTCATGTGCTTCCTCCAGCCCAGTTTCTCATGGTGTACTCTGCATATAAGTTAAAATAAGCATAAACTATGCCTACTCTTTAGATGAGTTAAGAAAATTCTTTTTAAAATACAAAAGAATAAATGAGGTTTATTTCTCTTTGATTTTTTTGGCCTTTTAGGCTCCAGGAGGAATTGCTACACCCCCAGTGTATGGTCAGCTTCTAGCTTTGTATCTACTCCATAATGACATGTAAGTACCTTCTACCTAAAGCTAAGAGAAGCATCCTCAGGAAATTATTCTTACATTTAAGTAGTATCACTGAAACATAGGTACAAGGAGCTGTGCCGCTTATTTCATATATTGAATCATGACTTAAGAAATTATGATTAGGCTGAGTTGTTTTAAAATACACTTGTTTTCTATATGCCTTCTAAGAGACATTCCAGTTTGTTATGAGAAACTGCGGTGTCAGTAAATTCCTTTAAATCTATTGATCTTTTTTTTCTCTGGTTATAAAACCTATATCTTTTATGATCTCTGTTTACTTAACTTCACATGTAATCAGTAGACTAAGAGAAACTAAAAGGGAAAGTTGAGAAAGCCAAAAGGAATTTGTTATCAACATAAAACATTTCTTGAAAGGTTTTGTTTTTTAATTATTCCTAGTTCATGTTCGTTGAAGAAAAGTCAGAAGCAAGAAGAGTCCCTTGTAGTGCTGCATCCCACCGATGGTTACTGTTAATTTGCTTTAAATTCCTCTAAACCTTTTCATTTTGTACCCTTTAAACTAAACTGAGGTTTTCATTACTCGTGTAGCATACAAATTATGTTTCCTGTTTTATAATGCTATCGTCATATGCTTGTTGTCATGCAAGCTTCCAAACTCTTTAAAAAAAGAAAAAACTGCCTTGAAGTTTTGGTGCCTCTATGCTCACTAATAGGAGGAGGGGTCATGATAAGCATTGCGTACTATGCGTATTTGCAGGAATGCTAGGACGTGGAAAGTGTAGGGATTTGTTTATTTTATATATGAATGAGTTGTTTAGATAGTCTTAATAAGTCTTTATACTGTTGCCTCAATTTAAGATCTGAATTATTAAAAAGTTTACTAAAAATGGCAGAATGTTAGTTTGATAAAAATATTTCATGTCTTATCTGGAAAACCACTCTTACTTCCCCTGGACAAAATCATGTAAAACTAAATTTCATTTTGTATTATATAGAGAATTTTAAAGTATACTTCTGTGTGTTTGCAGTAGGATCTAAAATTTGAAATATTTACTGAGGTGATTTTTTTTAATTGCTTGTTTTTTCTTGGGATGTAAATTAGGAACAATGCAAGATATCTTTGGAAAAGAATACCACCTGCTATAAAATCTGTAAGTATGCTTCAGTATGTCTTACTACTTTAGTGACGCCATTCATTTAAAAAGCAAAGTTTCTGTTTTCTTTTTCATGTGATTCACAAAACAGTTATTAAACTGCCTTTAAATTTTAAGAATAGATCTATAGATTCCTCTAATCTTAATTTCCCTTGGATGGAGTAAAAATCTGTGCTCAACTGCTTCCGATCAGGTTTCTTAACATACTTTATAAGTGTCACTTTACCTAACAAACAACCAAGTTAGTTTAGATAGAAGTTTGGGTTTTGTTTTATTATTTTCTTTTTAACTGATTTGTGCAGTTTTCTAAGTGTGATTTATTTTGCAACTAATATTATTTACAAGAACACTCTAAAAATAATAATTTTTCAGAGCATTAAGATTTTTTTTGGTAACTAGGATTTCTTGTTTTTCATGAGAGGGTAGATGAACTCACTTTCAAGATGGAAAGAAGTAAATTTTTGATTTCTGATGATCCACTGTGTCTCACATAAATGTAAAGTGAGTTTCTTGTACGTTCACAAAACATTAACAAGAATTTACCTAAATCCCTTTAATTCATTATTGATATTCAGCAGCAGATCAGATTAGTATTTATACTCCTTTTCCTCCACATTCTATTAAGTAAGTTTGGAATGTTCCTCCAGTGTCATTGGCTTAAAAAAAGATAGAAATTATATGCATAGTTTCAGTGTTAGTAGTGGAAATGCTATCCTTCTGCTACATTTTATGACATCTTAGATTGAGAGTCTTTATTATTAGCCATTTTGCTATTATTTTTGCCCTTAGAATAGATTTATGTATTTTATGTACATGTATATATAGATGTTATGTGTTCTATATATTATATATATGAAATGTAAATAAAACATCTGTTAAGAAAGAGTGTTTCATATAACTCATTCCTAAATTAATATGAAATATTTTTGGACTACTTTCTTGTGCCTTAATTTTTTAATAAAAATCCATATAAAACATGCCAATAAATTCTGTAGCACTAATCACCACGTTTAAAAACCTTTTTGAAAGTGATTGGGCTGAAACAGTGGTTACAGGTCTTAAACCCTGCATTATGTTTTAAACTTCAGTTGTTGGTATATGTGCAGAGTGAGTGTCCTCAAAGGCAGTGATCTTTCTTGCAGGCAAACTCTGAACTTGGGGCGATCTGGTCAGTTGGCCAGCGGATCTGGCAGAGGGACTTCCCCGGGATCTACAGCACCATCAACGCTCATCAGTGGTCTGAGGCCGTCCAGCCAATCATGGAAGCTCTCAGAGGTAGTGTTCCTCTGTGGACAAGAAACTAGACTAGACCTTTAGTGTTGGAGTAATTCAGTGTTTGAAAAATAGATATTCTCTGCCCAGTGAATTGGGGAAGTTTTCAGAATTCTTTTTTAAATTTGCTAAAAATTGTGTTTTGATTTCATGTCACTTGAGTTTGTATCAGCAGTTGAGGGCCTCATTGCCTCTTAATTCAACTCTAGATTGAAGTTACTTATCAGTAAGAGATGATTTTTGCTACTGAATTGAAATTTTGTAATATTCCAGTAAGTTCAAGGGAATAAGATTTAAACCCCACGTATTTGAAAGTAGAGACTGCTATGGACTCTGAACCTCAGCCCTTCATCGGCTTTCTTCAGCTTCTGGATTTATGACTAATCAGTTTAGTACATAGATACTCAAACTTTTTTTTAACCCCCCCCCTTTTTTTTTTATTACAAGTCTAATGCTGTATAGCACAACAGAACTTGCCCCTGACCCTCTCTCTCTCTCCATTCTCCCACCCCCAGTGTTTGCTTCCACTCTGCTTGGTTCACTCTTTCATATGTTGTTAAACCGTTACTTCATATTGTTACCTTGTTTCTCTGGTTAATTCATGCCTTCATTATCCACTTTCTGCTCTGGAGGGTCACTGAGCAGGAATTCTTGAATACTGCTCATCACTCTGGCAAGGGATGTCGACTTTTCAGGGGAGCAGAAGGCAGAGATTGCCTCTGAAGTGTACCTCATTCTTGGTGTGGTAAAGCAGAACAGCATGCATGGCAAAACAGGAGAATAGGCTGCCCTGGTACAGTGGGGGTGACTTTGGGTTTTCGCCCAGGAAATAACCTTGGTGTCATTGCGTACGCCGTGAGAAACTCAGATCCAGGGGAACACAGGGAGGGGGCTGAGGAAGCACATTGCCTGCCCTGCGGACCCCCGTTCACCCAGTACGCGAGCCCTGGGTGGCCAGCCTTGCTGGGGTTTAAGGGCAGAGGTGGGTTGCAAAGGACAGCTGGCTCATCTTCCCCTCTGCCTCTAGCACTGGCATTGGCAGTTCCTGGTAGATCACAGGCACGTTGAAGTATTCGTTGAGCAACAGAATAAGCAATCTCTCAGGGTCTCCCCAAGACTTTGTCCCGTGAAGAACTGCCAGCAGTACTAGGTGCCAGCTCAACGTGGGCCACCTTCCTGCTTGTCATTCTGATGCATGCCCTCCTGAGGCTGCATATCTCATCGCTGGGGTCACCAGGGCCTGGTCTGGATGCAGATGTCAGGTTCGTTTGTGCTGAGGGGTTAAAAGCAGCCTGAGGGTCTCGGCCTCTGACGGATGCTGTGGCTCTCGTGGCCTTTGTGTCTGCTGCCTTGTCCTTCCGTTCTGCCTTCCCCTGGATGTTTCTCTTCTCTCCACTCTGTTTTTCTCTTTCAGTCACATGGTATTCTTACTCTGTTCCTTTTTCAACTCTGAGAAATCTGACCAGAGTACTTGAACTTGAAAGTAAAAGTTTCTAAAATATGGAAGGCTTACCAAATGAATGTAGCTTTTGGTGTACACTTTTATTTTCCTCTTTCATTGTTGCTCTGGGTTCTTTTCCACTGAATGTCTGTAGCTTTCAATAGAAAAAGCTCCTTTATCTCTCAGCTGTGTTAGAAGTCTACTTTAAGATCATTTGCTGAAAGTTGGTAGCAAGGAAGGAGGGAATTGGAAGAGAAGCAAATAATGGCTCAGTGAAAGCTGGGGAGGCAGTCAGGCTCAGGGAGAAAGGAAGCAACAGGATTGACTCTCAGGGACATCTAAGGAAGAAGAGAGTCCAAAGGCTGCGGTCGGGCCCACTTGGGTCAGTGAGACCTTCCACAATCCTGTGCCTGGCACACCCTTCCTTAGAGGTGCCCTCCCTCGGGGGATGATAAGACATGAAAGCCCTCCTGTAGAGAAGTCTGGGATGACGGGTGGGGAGGAGTGCAGTTCACACGATGGGTGGTAGAAGATTGCCTGTTAAGTAAAGGATGCTGTGAGATCAGAGAAGGGCGGAGATGGCAGTGAGCTCCAGTTGTGGGGTGGGGGGGGCGGGGGTGTGTGTGTGTGTGTAAATAGACCCAGGGAGAGAAGAGAGGAGGGTGGTTCAGACCACACAGTGACCTGAGCACAGTGGTGAGAAGGTGCAGGCAGAACCTACAGGCTACTTTGAAGCAGAGGGTATCTGCGGGGGTTGGTGTGGCTGTTATCTGTCCCAGGAGTGGGGGGCGGGTTTTCTTATGTTCAGGGCTATCTTGTATGTATATGCTTGCCTATTAAATGTGAACGGTAAACTCCAGAATTCCTAGGAATCTTGAAGTCACTTGGAGGAGCTTTTGTATTACTGAAGGATGGACTGAAGACAGGCTAGCTGGGCTCTACTTTCTACCATTCCTTTATCATCTGTGCTTCATTCCTGAATTACTTAATGTGGAAATTTAAGCCCCGGGGGAGCCTGTGTGTGGTCTCTAGGGAGGAGGTTTTGTTGGAGTTGTTTGCAGCCCCTTCCTGTGGGGCTCAGGGCTCCACCTTGGGATTTGCACTTGAATGATGTCGAGTCAAGAGTTCAGAGCAGTTAGGAAGGAAGCAGTTAGAAGTTGAAAGTTAGGAAGGGCGCTCTGGGTATCTATCAGGTTTGTTCAGCAGCTCCCAGGTGTGGCCCCGTGTCAGAAACCCTGCTGAGAAAGGACCACTGATCTTGGGAGAAGGTAATTTCCTCTCCATTCAGTCCAGTGTTTGTAAGTGGGATAAAGAGAAATTTTGAAACATACATCCCAAATACAAATGAAACTTTCTTAGAGTTGGAGTCCTATCTATACTAACTTTTCTCCATCTTTGTCATTTTTGCTGTCACCTGAGATTGTATTTTTAGCCTGAGGTTTTTCCATTCAGAGGAAGTATAAGAAATGCATGTTCCCTGGCAGTTCAGCTTCCTTTATGGCTCAACTGGTAAAGAATCCGCCTGCAACGCGGGAGACCTCTGTTCCATCTCTGGGTTGGGAAGATCCCCTGGAGAGGGGAAAGGCCACACACTCCAGTATTCTGCCCTGGAGAATTCCATGAACTGTATAGTCCATGGGGTCGCAGAGTCGGACACCACTGAGCGACTGTCACTTTACTTTCTTTGGTGGTTCAGTGGTGAAGAACCCACTGCCAATGCAGGAGCTGCAGGGGACACAGCTTCCCCCCTGGGTTGGGAAGGTCCCCTGGAGGAGAGCATGGCAACCCTCTCCAGTGTTCTTGCCTGGAGAATCCCATGGACAGAGGAGCCTGGCGGGCTGCAGTCTGTGGGGTTGAACAGAGTTGGACAGGACTGAATGATTTAGTGTGTACGCACGTGTTGATTCAGCAATATTTGAACCCTTCTTACATGTTAGGTGCCTATAACTGTGGCTGTAAACGCAGAAGTCTTTAGGTTGATCTAGTTTCTCTTGTCAAATTTGGAGAAGGGCTGTCATGTAATTTAATTGTGTGTTTCAAAACTGGCAGCTCTTGGTTCACTGCCAAACCTTTACTCCCATGACAGATGCAACCCGGAGACGAGCCTTCGCCCTGGTCTCCCAAGCCTACACCTCCATCATCGCCGACGATTTTGCAGCCTTTGTGGGACTTCCTGTGGAGGAGGCTGTGAAAGGTATTTGGGGCCTACTTTCTGCTTTCAAGGAAAATGGAATGTAAATCATAGGTCCTCAAGCCCTTACCTGAAGCCATTGGGACAGGACACGTTTTGGAATTCAGGTTGTGTGTGTTCTTTAGAAAGGTGATAGGAGACATACACTGCACAGCCCCCAGGCAGCCAGCACCTGGTGACCAAGCCCACTCATAGTTCCCGCAGAGCGCACATGTCCCCACAGTTGGCCTGAGGGGAGACTATACATAGATTTTTGGGCCTGCATCAAGTTTTGCCACCACATGAGTTAAAGAAAATTTTTTGATTCATAGAATTTTTTGGACTTCTGAGTGTGAATAAGAAATATTGGGTTTGTGTTTACCTGTAAAGTGCTTTTTACCAAAGATAGGCACCAATTAAAAATGTCTTAAAACAGGAGCTTTGTGAAGGAATGCGTTGCTATTTCAGTGAGGTTAAAAGTTGACTGTATCTTTTAGGTAAACCCTTGTTGCGGTTGTTCACTCTGTTAATAACTCTTTCCTGCCTGAATCTCCTCACTGTTTGTGCAGTTACTTCTTAAGGCATCCGTGGTCTGGCCCCTGAATATTTTCTACTTGTGTCTCTAATACCTCTGATCAGCTTCTGCTCTCTGCTGAAGAGTGCGGAGCCCACCAAGGTGATGTCCAAGAAGGAAAAATTAGACCTGCTGTTGACTCATAGAAGGAGGGAAAAGGAAGGTGGTGAGAACAGCAGGTCATTGGAGGAAAGAGGCAGCGGATGAAGGTGTAGACTCAAGTGTTTGATGACATTCCCACCTCTGAGCCCCCGATTACATCATAGCTTTTACAGGTGGTAAAAAATGTGTGTGACACGGAGAAAAATTGAGGGTGTGCACATCATATGCTCTTAGATATGCTGGGTGGGTAACATTATATTCATAATTCTAAGCTTAAATTTCATTAACGTCTTTATATATTTTCCTTTGAAAATCAACATGGAGGTAGGGTTTGTTTTTTTAAGAAAGTAAGTTTTAATGGATTTGGACATGCAGAAACCCCTGTTTTACCCTTCCTTAATGAAGGCAGTCTCCTCCTCATATGCCTTTTCAACCCAGTTTTTCTTCACCATTTCTTACCAGTAACCTAGGTGTCTGCACCCCACTCTCACCCACTGGTTTCCAGGTGTGCTTCTGCATTTTCATTTCTCAGGCCCTGACAAGTCTACCCTTGCCTGGCCAGGTTGCTGTAGAATATTAATACTGTAGGTATCTTGTGGCAGTGTTTTATTGTGTTGGGACATTTTGGATTCTCAGTCGAAACGTGGTCTCCATTAAGCACCACATATCATAAATTTCCGAGGCCTACCACAGTTATAGATGCACAAGTGGCAGGTTAATGAATGTCCTTGGAGTAAATCATACTGTTACTTATGCATACAGACATGTGTTTTGACTCTTCTTTTGAAGTTAATCCATGCTTTATTAATTATGGATTAAAATATATTAAAATTAATCCATAATAAATAATATATCCCAAAGTCCATACTCTTAACGACTGTCTGCCTGTGATCCTGGTCCACTTCTCCATGCTAGCTGTGCAACTAAGACAAGTTACTGGGATTCTCTGTGCTTCATGTTCCACATCGGCGCAGTTACAATGAGCTTTACAGAGCTGTCGGTGGTTGCATAACATGATCCCTGTAGGAGCGCCCAGCACAGTACCTGCTGGCCTGCCTCTGTGTGGCGTCTGTATGCTGTTTTATCCTCACCGTCATCTTTGTTATTCCTGATGTCAGGATTAGAGTACTGTAGATGTCTTCCTTATGTCTCTTTAATCGTTTGATCTGGTTAATAGCATAATACATATATTATAGAAAACTGGTAATTTTTTAGTGATTATGTCAGCCTGATAGAATAAAATGAGGCTTTCATGGGTGTTTCAGAAAGGTATTTTCCCAAATAAGTTCCCAGGAGAATGCTGTCTCTAGGATACCTCTCTAGTGAAAATACATGTTACAGGTTCATCTACACATGTTGGACCTCCCATACAGGTAACATCATTGATACATTGTGGATCTTGTAAGTAGAGTTTCTGTTTTTAAAATACATTTCTGTGTTAAATACACAATTTAGGTATCCTCGAACAAGGCTGGCAAGCCGACTCCACCACAAGGATGGTCATGCCCAAGAAGCCAGGTAGGTGGAGCTGCTCGTCCACTGTGCAGCCCTGAACTCTTGAGACCACTGCAGGTTTTCAGGCACTGCCTGTGAATAATTTGATACAAAATTCTGCCATGCCAACGACATGAAGGTAACTCATGTTAAATACAGATATAGGAGTATGGACACTTAGGGTAGAAAGGATCTTAAAGATCATCTGGTTTTACTTTAATTTTTTAGAATGTATTTTGTGCATTAGAATCTTGTGTATGTGTTTCCATAATCCTTATTACAACTTAATTTTTAGTAAGTATTAATTTCTCATCCTTTTATTTATGGGGCCATTTCTCACTGCTTATTTTTAATATCTAAACTGCTGCCTTCTAAAATGATACTTAAAATATTCAGAAATTCCCCTTTTCTCCTCATGCTATAAACATGTAGACTTCTCCTAAATAAGACTTTGAGTGGCTTTAACTTTCACAAAATTAAGTTATCTGGTCTGTTCAGGCCTTAAAAATTTGGCCTGTCCTCATCGTCTCCATTTGAATTCCTGGTCCCTGAGCCTTCCTGTCTGAAATGAGCCACTTTCCCTGCTGCTTACCAGGAATGTCCTTTTCTGCCATGGCTTTAGAGCTGAGCTCCATGCCTATCTGCATAAACGCTCGGATCGGCTCCATCCCAGATTTCCACCTGCTCTGAATTCCTATTGTTCAGATGCTGTTGACCCCACGGTAAGGAAGTACACAAACCACCATGTGCTCGGCCCTTGAGGTCGAGGGGTCAGACAAGGGCCCAGCCAATCTAGGTGGTGAGAGAACGCTGCTATAGTAAAAAGACCAGTGTGTTCAGGTGGAGCGTGATTGCTGTTTCTCTCTGAGAAGTGAACAACTGGGATGCCAGTGTATTAGAAATGCCCTGTTCCGTGTGAAGGCTTTGGACAAGGCTTCTGTAACCAGGCTGTGCGTTTTGTTCAGTTGCAGGGGCCCTGGATGTTTCCTTTAACAGGTTTATTCCCGTATCAGGTATGTATGTTCATATGCTCATTTAAAAAGTATTTCGTTACTTTTGTCTCTTGTTTTTGTAGTATTTCTTTTTGTTAGCTCTCATCTTGTAGACACAGAGGTTAAATCCTAACATGGTATTTATAGTACTCCATCTAGTCACAAGGATGCACAGTGGGGTCCCCTGTAGCTTCCCTCGAGGCAGTGGCCCCTCCTGGTGTCACATTGGGCAGGCCTGATGGAGCCCCTCGCCAGCCCTGACTCAGACTTGGCCCAGGCTGACATGAGAGAGCTAAGCTTTTTGAAAAAGGGATCCTCTGTGGGTTTTCTGTTCACTGACAATTTAATATTTTGTGTGGTAAGCACTGGGTGATTATTAAATTAATGTCATATGGGGAGGGGTCTTTTCAAGAAGAGCTGTGTTCTCTTGGGAGAGGTGTTGCCTGTTAAAAGTGTTTCTAACCTTCACATGGAAACTTCAGTAACAACAGAACCAAACATGCCTTTATTCCCAGTTTGGGAAAACTACTCAGAAGTTGAGGCTCCTTGGCTTGTTTTTTTTTTAATGTCCAAGATGAAGGCAAATCTAAGAAAGTTTCCTTTTTGGTAAATAACAGGCATTGGAGGGGGTCAATGCAGGGCCACGGCTTTGTGACCCTGGTGACTTGACTGTGTTTCTTTCTAATATGCAGAGCCCGCCCCTGTTCCACCCATCCCCAACGAGCAGCAGTTAGCCAGACTCACCGATTATGTGGCTTTCCTCGAAAACTGACCTTTCCGAGTTCAAGATCCACCTTCAGAAGCCTGAATACTGACAAGTAGAGAAATGTAAAATTTTTATTTTCAATTTTATCGGATGGATGAAGCACCTCGGCATACTTTACTGAGTATGTGATAAAATACATATATAATATCAAGTATATTATATATATTTTGTCCTTAAAACATGCTGAATGGCTGTTGAAACAGTTCTCATCTTGCAACGTTTGACAGTTTGGACGGAGCCCGTCAGTATTATGCAGTCAGTTTATATTTCCTAGTGACTCGTGAAATGCAGCCCTCCCGCTCCCGTAGAACAGTGGTTGTCAAGCGCTTTTCCTGCCCCAGCGCACGCTGCGTCCCCTCCCGTCTGCACCATAGGTTAATAGCTGCCGTGGTGCATTGGGGTGTGAGGAGGACACCCCAGAGGCAGCGTCTGCATTCCTGGTGATGGTGATTCACCCCCTCTTTGGAGAACATGCTCTTTTCCTCTGCCCACCTGAGGCTCACAAATACAGAAAGCTGAGCCCGAGCTGAGGAACAAGACCATTTCCCTGGTAAACCAGTTTGCTTTAGACTTTTTTCTGAGAGCCTGAGTATATCCATTGCTGGCGGTGGAGGGCTTGCCTTGAATATGCGACTTATTTAAGACATTCGTGAGAAGTATGAAGTTGTAATATTTCCTTTCAGAAGAAGGGAGACGTCAGTGTGGAATGCATTGTTGGGGAAAGAAGCTATTATGTGATACACTTTGTACCACTAGTCTGCAGTCTATCGGCTGCTTATGTTTATCCCTTGGGTCAAGTTCTGCCCATGGGAGAAATACTGAACAAGTCTTTCATTTTTTTGTGTGTGACAGCCCTCTGAATATTTGAAGTTGTGTATTTTATCTTCAGTTTAAATCCACCCCCTAGTTCATTTATTCTGCATTTGTTCAATAAATATTTAATTGAATTCTTCAGCTGTTTTACTGAAGGTAGTTTCTAGAGGTTTCACTATCCTGTCTTCCTGTGGATGCATTCTAGTTTGTCATTGTCTCTATTAAAGTACACATCTCCTAATTAAATAGAAATGACCTATATAGTGGTAGCGACATAACTCATGTTTTCTTCATTTGAAGTATACGTTACTGGCTATTTCAGCTGCTGTTAACATGTAAATGTTAATGTTTAAATGTTCGTGGTTACTTTAAATACCTTTTAAATTAAGGTTTTGCTGTGCTGGGCTTCAGTGATCGTGAAAGACTAGGCGTAGCAAGGTGCCTTTAAGTATAGAGTAAACGGTTAGTAACACTGCAGCTGGAGGGTGAGAGAAGCTGCTGAGATTGAGGCCCTTAGAGAAGAGGCAGCTGCCGGAGAGAGTGGTAGGCCCATGTCTGCAGAGCCAGAGAGGCCAGGCGCTGACTGGAACCCAGGGAGGAGACGGGGTGAGGAGGAGGGCAACACCTGAGGCGCTGGCCCGGAGCTTTCCACAACTGCCGAAGAAATCAAGCCACAGATTCAGAAAGCTCAGAAAACCCCACACAGGGTAAATACAAAAAGTCACACCCCGAGACATCCTAGTAAAAGCACTGAAAACCGAAAAGAAAATATTAAAAGCACGAGGGTGGGGGGAGGGAGGACTTTTCTTTCAAAGAAGCAACAGTAAAGCTTAAGTGTCAAAGAAATCATAACTGCTGTTACAAGAGATGCTTTTAAAACTTTCACTCTTCTGTGGTGTTAAGTTTTAAAACTGGGGAAAGATACACCGATGAAATACTAAAAGAAACCTGGTGCAGCTTCAGTAGTATTGGAAAAAGGAGACTTGAAGCCAAGAAGCTTTATTAGAGATAGAGGTGGATTTTTTTTGTGGAAAAGGTTGCATCGGTTTTCTATTGCTGTGGTAGCAAATTGCCATACACTTGATGGCTTAAAACCACAGGATTTACCCTCTCATAGTTTCACAGCTCGGAAACCGGCACTGGTCTCCTGGGCTGCTGCCAGCTGTCAGCAGGGCCGCGTTCCTCAGAGGCCATCACGGACACTTTCTTGGCCCGTGGCAGCTCCCAGAGGCCGCCTGCTTCCCCCAGCTCAAGGCCCTCTTCCTGCATCTTCCTGGCCAGCAGTGTCGGGCTGAGTCCTTCACACTGCCCCTGAGGTCCTCTTTCCTGCCACCTCTTCCACTTTGAAGGATCCCTGTGGTTACATTGGTCCCACCTGGAAATCCAGGATAATCTAGTTTTAAATAGGATGATTCAGTTCAGTTCAGTTGCTTAGTATTGTCCGACTCATTGCGACCCCATGGACTACAGCGTGCCAGGCCTCCCTGTCTATCACCAACTCCCAGAGCTTGTTCAAACTCAAGTCACCTTCATTTTATCTGCTGTCTTAATTTCTCTTTCCCACGGTCCCAGGAGTTAGGGTATGGACATCTTTAGGAGACCATTTTCCTGCTACAGCTGTTAAGTCCAGCGGGCAATGGGAATATGTAATTCTAAATGTATAAATAACTCAAATCAAGCAAAATGGACAGTTGAGATTCCTCTGCAGTCACAGGTGTGGGGAGCACTGTGCTATCAGATATCTAAACAGTGCAAGCCTCTCCTATTAACAGAGCAAGGCGCTGCAGCATGGGTAGCAGACAGCCCAGTGGGACCCAACAGAGAGATGAGAAATAGACCCAAACAAATACCAGATAAAGGTGGCATCTCAGATCACTGGAGTAAAAGTAGGCTTTGTACTAAATGGTTCTGGGAAGATTGGTTAGCCACTGGAAAAGTCAAAAGCCCATTAGAATAAAGTTCGAATAGATTAGGGATCTTGATGTCAAAAAATGAAAGCACACCAGTCCTAGAAGAAAAAGTGGATGAATTCCTCTTTCACCTGGGCAAAGGACAGGCTCCTGTAGCTCAAAATTCTGATTAAAGAAAAGAATAATCAGTTTGACTGAAAATAAAACATTTGTATGGCCAACAATTAACTCAATGTCTGACAACTGAGAGAAAATATTTACCACATAAAGAACTAATAGTATTCATAATACAAAAATTGAGGGAATTTAGAGGGAAAAAATGACAAAAGATATGAACACACAACTCAAAAAATTACAAAACTGACTCTTAAACATGGATAGATGTTCAACTTTATAATAAGAGATGCACTTAACCCATCCATTTGGCAAAAACTTAGAGTACAGCATTGCATTCTGGTGCAAAACTGGGAAAATTGGTTCTCATGCTTTGCTGGTGGGAATTCATGTTGGAAGTTTTTACAGAGGGATTTGGCAATAGCTAAGGATTGGAAAAGACCCTGATGCTGGGAGGAATTGCGGGCAGGAGGAGAAGGGGACGACAGAGGATGAGATGGCTGGATGGCATCACTGACTCGATGGGCATGAGTTTGAGTAAACTCCAGGAGTTTGTGATGGACAGGGAGGCCTGTCGTGCTGCAGTTCATGGGGTTGCAAAGAGCTGGACGTGGCTGAGCGACTGAACTGAAGGACTGCATATGCATTTATGTGATTTTTGTTCCCACAACTAATTTTTAGGAATTCACCCTGAGGATTCAACTCCCACAATATAAATACACACACTGAGTTATTTATTGCAACACTGTTTCTGATTGTAAAGTGTTTGGAAACACTCTGATTGCGTGCACATGCATAGATGATGGCATATCCCTTTGAGGGAATACTACCTATGTGTTATAAAGTATAATCAAAGTCACTGAGGTGGAGTGATTTTTAGGATCTGTCATTAAAGAAAGAAGCAAAGTTCATAAAAATGTCTAGAGTCTGCAGTTTTTTGTGTAAGAGACAAGGAAATAAAATATACATATATTTTTCATCAGTGGGAAATACACAGAAAGGAAACAAGGAAAATAATGGAATGTTTGCTTTCAGGGTATGGGAAAGACTGAGTGGGAGAGGACTGAAAAAATCGGGAAATGAAGGTCAGTTCTCTATTACACAGTTCTGACTCCTGGAATTATTTTAACGTTTCACATATTCAGAGAAGAAATAAATGATGATGGGAGGGTGGCATGTGGAGGAGGAGTGACCCACTCTTGTATTTCAAATAAATAACTTCCCTGAAGGTAAGGGATGTAACTCAAGTACACTTTGAGCATACTACTTAGATGATATGTCCAGAGGTTAAAGACAGAAAGAACTTCAGACATACACTGAACTCCAGTCAGTGGTTTCCTTTTTTGCAAAAGTAAAGTCTAATAGCTCTAAAACTACTTTCTGTGTATTCTAGGACTGAACAAAGAAATGTAGATGATGGGACCCAGGTTTTTCACTGTCAGAGGAGTTACAGTTCTAGAAAAGAGGAAGCATTAGACTGAATCCTGAGGTGCCGGACTGAACTCAAGATACTGGATAATAAGCTCCTGGCTTTTAAGATGGTTGGGTGGGTAGATGGATGGATGGATGAGTAGATGGTTGGATGGATGAGTGCATGGTTGATGATGGGTGGATACGTGGATAGACAGGGACATAAGTATATCTCCCAGTTCCATCCACTGAGAGACACTCAGCTCTGTCCACGGTAGAGCAGTGACACCCATCCTCAGGTCATCGCCTCCTGAAGCACCTCCATTAAAAGGAACTGGGGGCTTCCACTTTCATGTGTCTTTCTGATACAAGACAAAGAACGTTTGAAAAACTGTCTGAAAGAAACTGAAGGGGCACAACAACTAAATGCAGCACTGTAATAAATAAAAGTATATCACAAAACACATTACTGGAAAGTTGATGAAATCTGAATAGACTACAGATTACATCAGGAGTTGGCAAACTACAGCCTGCAGCCAAGATCAGGCCACTGACCATTGTAAATAAAGCTTTATGGGCACACAGACACGCCCATTCATGTGTATACTGTCTGTGGCTGCTTTCACACAACAGAAAATGAGTAGTTGGGACAGACTTGTTTCCTGGGAAGGCTAAAATATTTATTGGCTGGCCCTTTATATTAAAGTCCCAAATCTCAGATAATTTTGTTTCAACATTAATTTCCCTAGTTTTATTGGT